TTGCGCCTAAGCTTAAGGGATTTGTACAGTTTGAGTTTAATTACCTAATATTTCATCATTGGCATATTATGTATACACTGACTTTATTTGTATTCAAATATAACATTGAAAAGGTCCACATGAGAGTTTAATCTACTAGCACACTGACTGATCACAGCAAATCAGATTTTAACTTTCATTGGTTTAGCATAGACAATTACATTTTTCAGTGGCTGCTATGGCTTGCTGCACACTGGATACTGCTGTTTTCCAAATAGATAGCAAAGAACAGAACGTTTGTTGGCCTATAATAAAAAAAAAAGAGCAAGATTTTTATTAAAATAGTGTACCTAATAAAAACCTCATATGTTATTTAGGTAAACCTTATCTATTATTTAAGCATCAAAATTATTTAGAGTTATAGTCAAGTTAACTGACACATAGAGACTTTATCAAATTTAGCCTTGGCATTTAGGCTTCAGTAAGCTCTGAGCATGAATGGCTTAATCTTGATGCCGAGGGCTCCAAATGACACTTTTTATAAGCCACAATATTGGGACTTGTGATTTAAGAGGTTTGGCTGATACCATCTTAGTTATTCTGATAGATGATCCACCATACAGTTAAATGTAGCTACTTTGTCTAACTTCTCCTGTATTTTGTCAGAGGCAACCAATCAGTATCCTTCATACAGGACCTGGCTCCCGCCACAGAAGGGAACCAGAAATGTTGTGTAAGTGGTGAGCGTTCACCCAACTTTGGGGGGAAATTACCCATACAGTGCCCCCTTCCACACTGCAAGAGGTAAATGCTCATTTTCTTCACAAAGATTTATTTTCTGCTGTACGACTGGTTCCCCCGTAGCCACTTGTCTTCACTGCTGCACCGTTTGAATGTTCTCCGACATCATTCATGATACAATGCAGGACCAGCAAAGAAGAGCGCTGGCTGCTGGGGGAGCAAGGAATAAGGCATTACTGCTTTACTGTGCTGAGCTGAGCAGCTTCCCCTCTGCTCTAGAAACCCAGGGGGTCCCTCGCTGGGCGCAGCGGCCATTTAGAGAAGGCCTAATATTTTAATCAATGAATACAATTTGTTCTCTGATTGGATGAGTAGTGGATCCTGATATTATGGCCCTCTTTGAATCAGAGAACAGAGGGGAAGCCACTCAGCTCAGCACCATACAGGACCTGATAAATCACTGTAAAGCACTGTACTAGTTTTGGCTACTACAACGCTTTACATGATACCATCGGGCCGACCAGGTATATCATATACATACATACTTTAGGCCAATCTGGACCAATGTAAGTATGCAAAATGCTTTATAACTGGAGTTTAGGTTTAAACTATGCATGCAAATGTCACACGGGCCAGAAACAAGAGCTTGTACTGAGAATCTGACAATACCTAATTCTGGGCTGCATGTAGTTATTGCAAAAGTTTGGATTACAGCACCTACACCTACATAACAGTTCAGTGGATTATACTGGCTCATATTGCAAACATTTTACTGGACCACTGTAATTCAGACTGAGCAGATATGGTAGTACTAATGCATGCATATTAATAGATGACCTATGGCTAATATACTGATGGAAATTTAATGCATCAATATATAGTTCAAGTTAGGCAGTGTATATAAACATTTCCCAAGCATTAACATTGCATACAGTGTAACTATTAAATAATGTCAACACAATTAATTGTTGGGCAGACTGTTACTATTTTGACATTGTGTGCATAAAAATGTGGGGCTGTTGGGCACACTCTTTTTGTACTCCCCATGTGTTGCCTTTGTGGTTTTGTTCTTTGCTGTTAAATATGTTTAACCCCTTAAGGACAAAGGCCTTTTTTTCATTTTTTGCACCATGTTATATTCTACATTTTAGGCCTGAAAATTACTTAAAACCTCCAAGACCCTATAGAATAAAATATTGACAGTTGCAAATGTTTATGTTGCACGACATTAGCACAACTTATTATCATACCCAAACATTTAGTGAAAAATGCACTTAAGTTCAATTTAGTGCCCCAAAACACTACATAAAACCATTTACCCAATATGCCCAGGATAAAAATTGTGTGCATCCGTGAAACTGCAACAAAATTCAGTACCCCAAAAAGTCCATAGACAACGATTTAAAAGCCCCTACAGGTCATCATTTTAGGGATACATGTAAATATTGACCCTAGAATTATTGCTCTGACTCTGGCGTGCGTGGCAATACCCAACATGTGTAGCGCAATTGTCGTTTTAATACGTAGGCCACACACCTTACAATTTATCTGCAGATTTTCTCTGGTCAGATGGAAAAGGTGCAACAGATTCCTCCATCTACACTTAACTGTGTGGAAGGAGTAATATTCACCTGGGCCAATCTGTTGCACTTTTTCCATCTGACAACAGAAAATCTGCAGATAAATT